CGATTCCCCCTTCAAACTGATGGAGGAGACTTTATTACGAACATCTTTTCATTTTCGCTTCTCCTGTTTTTACTATTATTATGCCTCGTCGGAGGCTTTATGCTCGAACTTAACATGCACAGCGCTCCAAGGAACGAACCAGAAACCCACATCACGAGGGCTGAAAAGTTGCTGAAAGTAATTGGGATAATTGAAAAGTACTCGAAAGCTGTTGTGTTCTGCATTCACGTGTTCCACCGCTATTTATGTCTTTCTACGAGTAGCGCATTATTTTTGCATTTAAAAACAACATGCAATTATGCTATGCTTGCGTGCAGCGTAATCCCCGTCACACTTGTTATGCAACGAAGTCATATTTACAGGAACAGCAACATTGAAATAAACGTACGCCACTGGTTAATTGTTTATTTTATGAATTGCATTTGATGTTGTATTGAGTATTTCATTTTATTGGTCATCTCTTAGATGATGCAAGCGATAGAGAAGGTCTAGTACAAACATCAAAGACATCCTTTTAATGTTCAGTGTTTTATCCTAGTGGCCCTATTGACCTTTGAGTATTGATAAAAAAAAGCACACAACTACAAACAACTCGATAAATCAAACTGTATTTTCGTGTCGTCCAAAAGGAATTTCCGATTTGTTTTATTTTTAGCCTATAAATAGTTTTCCTCGAAATGGAAAAATTCCGAGCGCTCCTCCGCCTTCTTGTGTCAGTTCTCCTCGCTATAAACAACCTCCTCGAAATTAGTATGTGGCGTGTGAATGGGGTACGCAGCTTCTTCCATCGAAGTTGTTAAGTCTTTGAGAGGAATCCGCGGCGCGAAAGATTTAACGCGATCCGCGGATTGTATCCTCGAGACTTACGCAACAAAGTTACGCTGCTCCTCGCGATTCGGAATGGATTACAAATTTCAACTTATCGCCGCGCTTTAATTGGGATATAAATAGGATTTATGGAGAGCGCGATTTTAATTTATCGTCCACGCATTTGTATGTAGTATGCGTATCATTATTGTTTGATGCGTAATTGCGTAATTGGGTGTGCGTTAATTCGTTCGGAAGTAACGAGCGTTTTCTGGCGGGAAATTCGCAATGTATATAGTAAATAATTAGATAAAACTGCATTTTCACTATTTCTGATGTGGTCGGTTGTTCGTGCATTCGGAAGCCGAGTGAACGGAAAAACGATTGTTGTAAATATTTAAGTGAATGGATTTGCATGGTCCGGCATTGTCTGCTCCAATGGTAATGTCCCACATTTGAGCGTTGCGCAACCACCACTTTTCTCCACGTTTCGTTTTTCATTTTCTATTCGTTATTACCTCACGTACGTATATATATTTATCCACTACTTCGATTTACAACCATGGGGTTATTTGTTATTCGTGGCTTTATTCGATCTTCCTCCTCAACTTGGATAGCGAAGATGGTGTCTCTCCACCCCTTCCTCAAGGTCAAGACTAGTCTATTTATTGACGGAGCAATCCACTTACCGGTCGCATACACAAATAAAGTAATGGCAAATCATTTCGCTCGTAATTTACTTGGTAATTACTGTAAACATACTGTTTGTGTGATTTAAGAAGCCGATTCATCCAACAAACGACTGCCATCGAGGCTTAAATTGACCATGAAGCTTTCTTGGTACAAATTATATCCCCTCGCTCGTTTCTCCATCCTTCCTTCTTTGCAACACAATGGATGCGCGCTGTATGAATATGAATGGGCCTTATTGGTCTTCAACCCTAATAGGTTTACCTCTAATGAAGCTGTTTTCTCATTGCTAATAGTGTTTGTATTATCCGTCATGTATTAATAAATCATATTATTATGTTATGATTACATTTCATCTATAAATAATAACAAATACCTATATCTATATATTTAATTAAAAGCATTGTCTTAGATCGCATTGTATTGCATTTAACGGTGAAATTTGAAGAAACATTGTTGTTCTTCTTTGATTGCTAATTGTCAGAACGTGTATAGCAATCGAGGGAGCTCTGTTAGAAGCAGTTTCATTGTTATCGCAACAATTACATCATCCTCTCCGTTCTCAGGATTTAGAGCTACATGAATGCAAAAGATGTGGATTGAAAGTGCTTTCTTTCGTTGCTTAGGTGGGATTGTAATCAGAAAATGCAGGGGAAGATGTATGTGTGTATTTGAAATGGGTCGAGGGAACTGTAATTTCCCGAGTGCGTTTATGGATTGGGGCAGATGGAAACGGCGAAAATGCATATCTACCATCCGTAAATTAAGTAGTCTGCAGCGTTGAACAATTGATGGTGAAAACAATTTAAAAAAGAAACGATGCATGCATATGATGGAAGTTAAAAAAAAAATATGGATATATGTGTGGAACTGTATACGTATTAATGTAGAAATGTAAAGCCCTTTCGCCGGTCGGCGATGCTGCCTTCTCCCCGACACTAAAAACTTTTGTTGCCATCGATCGAAACTTTCCTCTCCCTTCTAAAACTAACTTTTGCCATAAAGTATATAAACTTACACTTTTGTAACAACTTTAGTTCCGAGGCAAAGTTCTGTGCTGCTGCGTCGGCGGGAAGGGAAGACTAGTTAAAAACTTTTTTCGGGGGGCGACTTTTAAAAACGGTCGCTCTCTCTCTCTCAGACACATGCACACGAATACACCCTTCGTCCTCCTCGGTCCCGTTCAATTCCATATTCTATATCTCCGTCTCCGTATTTCATTCCGATGCTCCTTTCCAACCAAAGTTTAATCTCGCCCTGATATAGTTTAATTAACGGAATGCCTTCTTTGCTTTTATTTCGCACCATCGAGCGGCGTCGGTGGTGGTGGTGATGGTGATGGTGGAGTAGGAGGCGTCCCCGAATTTCCTTCCATCGCGCTCACGCAACGAACTTTTTTTCAACCGAACAACTTTTCCAACTCATTATCATCAAAAACAATTTTATTCATTTATCAAATTGGACGTTTTTAATCAATATTCTCCTGCGCATTCTCCACTTTGTATAGCATACACATAACAAATGATATACTCAACTATACAACATTTAGTATCATTTTTCTTTATTTTAATTGATCTGTCTACTTATACTTAAATTTTACATACATCATCTTTATAATATATTCACTTATTTGTTATATGAATTTTTATGAAATATTATATTATGTTTTAAAAGCATTTGAAAAATTTACTCCTTGCATTGCGTGGTATCGATTGGATGTCCAGATCCAATAAATGCATCACTTTCATGAAGGTTTTTTTTTGTATTGCTCTGTTTCTTTTATATCCACTGTAATTGGAATGTTCGAACTACGTGGGATTGTTGAAAAACGTTCTCTCCAGGTATATGTGTGCATCGGGAGGCTGGGAAAAAGGGGATAACATAAATTTCGGAATGTTTGTGTTCATTTAAACTGGGCAGTTCTGGGTAATAGGTAGTGTAGAGAGAGAGAGTGAGGGAGACAGAGTGGAGCAGTAGCAGCAGGAGAGTATTTCAATCGTGATGGGATTGAATTGAATATTGTAAAATTCGCAATTGTGTGTCGTTTATTGGACGTCGGCCGTTTTGTGTGCAGTTTATTACATGGTGTTGGGCACACAGGAGGAGAGTAAGTTAGTAGCCGGTGTGTTGTTAACTGGATGGAATCCGAGCGAGATGCAGCAGGTATTTATTGATTGACCGCGATGTCCAGCGGCAAAACGTAGACTGAGATCACGCTAGAAGGGGGCGAGAGAAGTGCTGCAAGGGCTGGATCTTCAATGGCGCTGAGGGAGTGGGATGGCATCATGAGTTGGCACGTGCTGATGAGAGAAATGGAAGACGAGGAGTACAGTATTGAGTGTTTACAGCATAGCATGCACATACATATATCCATCCTATGTATAGGGTATACTCGTCTCTGGCGGAATCAATTCAACTTCTGGCAACACCATCATGTATATATATATATATATATGTATATTTAGTTTCGAGTTTCAACTGTTTCTCGTATAAACTCGCTAAACTGTTGTCGGAATAAAAGCGGAGGGATTAACAAAGTTTCGCCGGGAATATTATTCCAGGGGCTTTTTGCAATTTGCGTGGAGGATGATCGGAAGGGTTTTACCGTTGCGGGGGGTGGGATGAGTTTTCGCTCTGGGGAATTCCTGGGGGTCGTAATACATCAATTTGTATCGAAGCTAATTGGGGAATTTATAATCTATCAATTTATGTATTTATGGTAATGATCTTGGGAGATGTTGATAAATGCGGACGGGAAGTTTTGAATGTATTAGAATAATTGTGTGTTAGTGATGAATGATTTGGGTTGAGTTGGAAAGTTGGAAAGGAATGAGGAGAGGAAGGAGATATTTGTGTGCCAGTGGAGAGTGGAAATACACGCGAACAACGCGCGCTTGAATTCTTCTTGGCGAAGTTTATCGATTAGAGGAGGGAATCCAGCCGGAGGAGTCCCGACCCACTCTGACGATGGACGAGGATGAGAGGATTCTCTCCTTCTTACTTTCCGTTGGGTTTGTCGGATTCCAGTCGGCGGGGCCGCATCATTTAACTTCCCAGAGGCCCGTGATTAACGGGAAGATGGTAATGTCGTAAAGTTTGAAGATTTGATAATGTGCATGTCCGACGAACCGTCTTGTTCCTCATTATTTCTGGCGTTGTTCTCGTCGACTTTCGACCGGCCCCGACGCTGCTCAACCGGAGTCGAAACTGTTGTATAATTTATGAAAATATCTGGAAACTTCTCCGGCGGCGTACTCTCTCTATATATATATGTATTGCTCTGAAACACATTTTCAACTTTCCTCTAAACCAAACATCGCGCAATAATAGTTTGCCAACTTCGCCCGTTGTCGAGTTGGGAATTAGTTTAACTGTAGTTGTCCGAGAAACTCGCAAGCTAATACTCCAATTGCTCCGATGTTTACCGCTGGTAACTTCCTCTTTAATGGCATTTATCTGCGTTATCTCTATTCTAAACTAATTAGTGTCCTCTTTATTTGCAGATTCCGCACATAGCAACTGGACGTCTTAATGAGCAACAATGGAGTATACAGTCAGTCGCGAAGTGTAACCTAGTAGTGCCTAGTAGTAGAAGAGCGTGGCTTCGTTTTGCGCACCAACACGTGGTTGTGTTGGTGAGTGATTCACTGGCGGAATATACTAGTTAGCAATCTGTATTAATCGATTGATTAATAGGAATAATAAAAGCAAGTGGCGGTGATCGCAGCGAAAGAACGTTGCATGCGGCTAGTTAGTGATATTCGAAGTACAACCAATGGACAAGCGTAAAATGATGGCAAAAAGGCCTCGTGTTGACAACCTCCGTGGCCCAATCTCGAATGGGCCCATGCAGTCGCGTCCTTTGGTCGCGCTTCTGGACGGCCGCGACTGTTCCATAGAGATGCCCATCCTGAAGGACGTTGCGACGGTCGCGTTCTGCGACGCCCAGAGCACAAGCGAAATCCACGAGAAAGTGCTGAACGAGGCGGTCGGTGCGCTGATGTGGCACACGATAATTTTAACGAAGGAGGACCTGGAGAAGTTCAAAACGTTGCGCATAATCGTGCGGATCGGCTCCGGGGTGGATAATATCGATGTGAAGGCGGCCGGAGAGCTTGGTATTGCCGTCTGCAATGTGCCCGGCTATGGTGTCGAGGAGGTGGCAGACACCACGTTGTGCCTGATCCTGAACTTGTACAGGCGTACGTATTGGCTGGCCAACATGGTGCGGGAGGGTAAGAAATTCACGGGACCGGAGCAAGTGCGGGAAGCTGCTCAGGGATGCGCCCGCATTAGGGGAGATACGTTAGGTATCGTTGGCCTGGGCCGTATCGGGTCGGCGGTCGCGTTACGCGCCAAGGCCTTCGGCTTCAACGTAATCTTCTATGATCCTTACCTTCCCGATGGTATAGAGAAGAGTTTGGGTCTGACGCGGGTCTACACACTGCAGGACCTTCTCTTCCAATCGGACTGCGTTTCCTTGCACTGCACCCTCAACGAGCACAACCACCATCTTATCAACGAGTTTACCATCAAGCAGATGCGACCCGGTGCCTTCTTGGTGAACACCGCACGAGGTGGACTTGTCGACGACGACGCCCTCGCCACCGCTCTTAAGCAGGGACGAATCCGCGCCGCTGCCCTCGACGTCCACGAGAATGAGCCGTACAACGTCTTCACTGGCCCCCTGAAGGAGGCTCCCAACCTTCTCTGCACACCGCACGCGGCCTTCTACAGCGATGCCTCCGCGACAGAGCTCCGAGAGATGGCCGCGTCGGAGATCAGGAGAGCCATCATGGGCCGCATACCCGAGTGCCTCAGGAACTGCGTCAACAAGGAGTACTTCCTAGGACCGGGCGCCTACCCCGAAGGTACAGGTAATGCGCTTACCCACTTTTTGCCATCCCCTAATATATAATCATCATCACTTCACAATCAATACAACATATCAATTATATTCATAATCATATCAAAACATTAATATTTTTCATCTTACATATTTCTATATCATTTACATCTTCATCTTATTATTTATTATTATTTGATATTAGTTATTTTGTGTATTACATTAATTACGAGAAATAAGTATCTATTAATCATTTGGAAACTACTTCATACATTTGGTATTTATTATTTAAAAATTAAAATATTCAAATTATTAGAGTCAGTATAAAATAAAACATCCATTTGAATACTTTTGTGATTAAATATACTGTTTCCTGGGATTTCTGATGAATGCTGTATAAGACTGTGATGTTTTTTTAACTACCTCCTGAGGTTTATTTTAATACTTCATAATACCACAATATCCATGATTACTTTTCAAAGCTTCAACTAACAAATACTTTCTGCACGGTCTTACTACTAACCTTTAGATTGGAAAGGAAACAAAAGATAAACATTACTGGAAAGCTTTTGGTTCCACCATATTTACGAATAATTTTTATCCATTTAGTTTCTCCAGCTGGTGTAAATGGAGGATACTATCAAGGCGGGGCCCTTCCCGTCCAGCAGGCCCATTCAACAACGCCCCACGAAGCCCCTCACACGGTGGCACCTAGTGCAGCACCTCCGACACCTCAACCGCAACCGCCTACAGGACCTGTCATCCCTCCCCACGCTCTGGTAATTTAAACAAAATTTATATACAATATTCTCATCCAGATTTTTGTTTTCATTATATAGTTTAGTATCGCAAGAACACGTTAACAAACTAGATCAGTTTTCTATTCAACCTAAATTAACATTATCTTTATAAGTAAACTTAATTTCTTTCTATTTTTTAATTTTGCTATTGATAATCATTTGTTAAAAAATGTACACTCTCTATTTGATTTTCCGTTTTATATTAAGTTCAATTTTTGCTCCCCTTTTTTTTGTATTAATACTTGTGACGTAAAGGAATCATTTAATTATAACTTGAAATTAACAAAACTATAGAATTAGTATATAAATTAATGCAAATATAAGTAAGGAGAAGGAAACATATTTTAAATATTGTAAGACCTGTTACAAAATTGTAAGTGCAACATATTAGTTAGATTCATAACTTTATAAATAAATTATGTTTTTAGTGCTATCTAATTGTATATTTAATAGAGCTTTGTTTCGACACAGGACCCTTCGCACCAATTATCATATCAAGTTTATCAGACGAAAGCAATCGAAGGTTTTTCATTGGAACATTTATCATCAAGAAATCAAGAATAAATGTCTCTATCTAATTATTACATTCATATAGCTGAATTTCTATCACTTAAATTATAAAATAAAGCACTGTGTTAATTGAATTAATTTATTATGTAATTATGAACGATCTAAACAAAAATACACATTTTTTTATAAACCACCCACAAATAAATTCCTGATTGCATTACTCATATTTGATTGAGTATTTCGCTTATTAGTGATTCATTACTTCGTCGCTTGGTAAATATGGTAAAAATAAATTATTTTACATTGAGCAATTTAAGTTTTTATATATTTTTTTCATGGGACTACGTTTCGAAGAAATCAGTTAGTTTAAAGTAGGAAGAGACCAAAGTAAAGAGTTCCGATCGTTCATTAAAGATTCAAAAGAAGAAACTGGGCGACGGTGTTAGTAGATTTAAGAGAGTATAATGATGTTTTTCCCAATACTAATCTTGTTCTTCGTTCTGTTCTTTTAGCCAATGAGCACACCAGATCCAACCAATCACCACGCTCCGAAGCCAGAACCATCAGAAGTCCACTAACATCAAGGGTGAAGCAGCATGTCGTTGACGCGTGTGTGCTTCTGTTGGGACAGAATGTATGAATGCGTCATTCTAATTATTTTTATTTTTTCAATTCAATGCATTATATGTTAATTTCGTTTCGATTAAGAGTTATACATATCGTGGATTTTTGGTACACAAACACAACACATTACAATCTAAATGAAACCATCATCAACAACAACAACAACAAAATGAATGGAAATCGACTCAGATAAAAAAAAGAAAAAGCAGCAGCAAATTGAACATACATACAGACCAGCAAACAATCAATAAAAGCATCACATAGTTAAGATAAAGGATGAGTTATATAACGAAACAGTTAAGAAAATAAAATAAAAGGTATAAAACGAAAGGTCGCAGCCGAAGCAATATTGCATAAAAGAAAACAAGACAATATTTGGCGTTTCCATAACTTTGTCACCGTAACTTGTAAAAAAAAAGTAATAATTAATGAGAGAGTATATATATATTTATATATATAGTAAAACGACATCAAAGAAAGATATTTTATATATATATTGTGCATGTTTGATAATCCTTATTATTTTTCGTTTTATTTTTTAAATATTACATTAATCGTAGTTTTTCTTATTATAATTATTATGTTTACGAATTAATTACTTTGTATTTCTCCGTATTATGTTTTTTTTTTGTTCGTGTGTGTATATATATATATATTGCAGGTAATAATTTTATATTTTTGTAATTTTGATGATGTGATTGAGAAGACGCGAGAATCAAAATGTTATGATGATGATGATGATGGGGTAAAGTTATAGAAACGCGCTGGCCGCCTGTCCTCTCTGTATAGAAAACTACTTAACAAAACAAACAAAAAAAAGAAAAGAAACGAGAAAAGCAAAGGGAGAAGAAAATCTTTGTAAGCAGATTGAACGCAGTTTGTGCATTAACCATCTCCTCCCACAATCTCTCCCAGCCCCCCCACAACACACAATTCGGCGATTTTACTTTTCTCCCACGAAAAGCTTATCAATTTTTTTTTCTTGCTCTCATTATTTTTCTTTCGTTTATTGTTTCTTTCTTCCTGCAAAAAAAAAACGTTGTTCATATTTCCTATTATTATTATTTTGTTGGAAAAGAAAATACAAGTAACAAACGACACAACGACAGGGACGATGGTCTGCAGAAAACCTTTGGCACTTTGCAGCCATTGGCTTTGCGTTCAAACACATTGTTCTCTTTCTATCAATCTTATCTTTCTTATATATATATTTTTTTATTATTTTTTGTCATTTATTAGGTTTAGTGCATTGAATGAAGGATTTTCTATGTTAGTTTTCGGTTTTGCAATTATCCACCGTTATAATTGTACTTCTTTTATCGTCATGTTTTATGTATAATTATTATTATTATTGTTTTTTTTTAATTAGTCAAAAAGTACTGCTCTTTCAGTTATTTTTTAATACGTCAACTGTGACATCCAAAATCCTTCGCAAACAAAAAAAAATAATAATAAAATAAATTTAATAATGATTATTTTTTTAATACATAAGTGCATTATTGAAGAGTGCGTGTGAGTGCATGCGGATCCGCCATCCTCCAAACCTGAATTCTCTTTTGATACATATGATGTATATATATATATATATGGTGATGATATATAAATATATTTTTAAATGCCTTTAACTTGTATGGATATGTATCGATAAAAGTTGTACGTTAGTGTACAATTGGTATTGTTTTCTCGTTGATTTTGTTTGGTCGTTCTTTCGTTCTTAGAGAGCCCAAAGGGCGTTCGTTTTGGACGATGGCCGGCGCATGCACAGGTGTGATTGAGAGGATAAATAATTGAAATATGGAAAAAGAAAGCAGAAATTAATAGCCCAAAACTTTTTATGTTTAAACCTTAGGAAATAAAAGAATTACTATTAATTATATATATATATAAATCTATGATATATATATGAAGGACAATTTTTTGAAATAAACACGTTGTTGCAAGCGTGCGTTGGAATATAAATATATATTATTGAGGTAATAAAGGCGACACATTTTTTTTTTTTTCGAAACTAGAAACTTTGTAAGGAAAATGAATATATAAGAAACAAAAGTGAGGTGCCAGTGCGCGAAGTTCGAGGTTTGTTTTTAAATAATAACGTAGCATTTTTTTTTTAGTAAAAATACCAGAAAAAAATAAAATATATTAAAAGAAAAAAAAGTATAAAATAATAAAAGGAGTTTAGTAATATTATTGTGACTAATTAACAGTGACCATATTTTGAGAAGAGAGTTACATTGAAATAAAGAAATAATTAAAACAAAAAAGAAAACAAAGAATAATGAAACTTATATATAAAGAAAATTTACAAACTTTGATGCTATTTGAGTAAACGAACGAATCGAGATGCGTCTCTTGGAAACGGTGCATATTACACAACCAACCCAAAAACCCCTTAATTACGCTAGAGCGCTGCATTATGCAATTTTTCACGTGCATTAAATGGAAGAGGACGCAATCGAGGGATGCACTGTTTTACCATTAACGTGAATATATTTTTGTAACGGTCGTTTTTTAAATATAAGAAAAATGTGCAAAAAAATAAAGAAGTAACATGATTTATATATATATATATATACATATAGAGAAAGAGAGTAAAAGTGTTGGGGTAAAACGGTTCATCCTCTCTTAATGTAGTTCTTGTAAGTTCTCTCGATTGAGTGAAATCTGGTGTTTGTGTCATATTGGTGAGGGTCGAGTAGTATGCACCGTTTTCCGTTCTCCGGTTTTCAAGGAAACCTGCAGAAATTAGCGGCAGCAAGACAGCAGCAGCAGCAACAACAACAACCACAACAGGCAACAACAACAACAACAACAACAAAAAAAAATGTAGGGCTATTGGACTTCCACAAATTTTGAAATAAATATATTAAAATAACACGATTTTTTTTTCTTTCTTTCTCTGTTAGGTCTTCCTTTCGCTCCTCTACTTCCAGTTTGAACTTCTGTAACTGTTACATTTTATATTACTTATTTATGTAGATAATAAATTGTACAAAACATTTGTAACCGAACGTTTTATATTCGTAACAAAAAAAACTCAATCAAAACCGCTGTTTTTAGGTAAATAATTTAAATATTGTAATTAGATTTGTTTCACAATTTATCATTAGTATCTTATACTTATATCTAATAGTTATTATTTTATTTTTTATTAAGCAAACACTCCAAATCATACTTGGAATTGTGTAAATCTATTTGCGAAGAAGTGATGTGTCTTCTTACAAAAGTTAATTGATTTTTTTTTCTCTATTTGGATGACGTGATTTGTACCTGAGACATTGCATATTTGTAATAATAATAAAGAAGAGTAGATATCGATTTGTAGTTTGTTTTATATATTGCTACATACGTATGCAAACGTTAATTGAAATTTCATCATATTGTTAAGCCCACAATTCGCCGGGCTTAAGTGAAATATTGATCATATAACAACAGCAGTAGATATTGTTATGACTATACTAGATTATGATAATGACTTATGTGATAATTGCATAAGTTTAAGAAGCAGAAAGTGAAAAAGTATGTGTGAAACTTTATTAATATCATTATTTTATGTAGTATTTATTTTATATCCTAAATGTGTAATTACATAATATGATTTAAGAATGACCCGCGGCTGTCGCCGTTCTCGATCTCATCGTGCTCCTGTATCCAATAGGATTTCCTCCGAGTTTCATCTGGATTTGTAGGAGGGTTTTTCCTTTGCTCTCTATCACGTAGTAGCAGCAGAATAAGAATCCCAAGAAAGAGGCGATTCCAAGAATACAGACCGCTCCGGCAGCGGAAATTTTCACCTGTGTGATGAGCGTGAAACGCACCATAAGATATACCCAAAACCAACGGAAGCTGAACGCCACGGTCTTCAGCCAAGGGTAGATCTGTTGCGGTACGTAGTCCATCATTATTACATCGGGATACGAACCTAATCCACAATGGTAAGCTTGTATGTAAAACCCTTGCAGTACAAATCTGATCCAGTTGTTGCCTAGAAGAAATTCGTAGTTCCGCTGGTAGCAGTACAGGTAACCGCCGATGAGACACAGCATTAAAGTCACCAAGAACGTGCTTACAATCAGCGGTTTCTTGACGCCGTAGGGCACCTTGAAATGAGTGAATACGGATACCAGAACTATGACGTAGTACATCCCTCCCATAATTAGAGCGTCCGGGATTTTGCCGAAGACGTCTATGTCGGTGACGTCCTTGTTGCTCGTGTGGAAAATGTAGAGGCCATAAGCGATGAACGCAAAGTATCCAGAGAAGGCCTGGAAGAAGTTCAATGCCAGCACAATGAAGACGGCTCTGTAAACGACCTTCTTGAGCAGCAGATACTTTGCGGACGTATCTATTATCCTAGCATCCGCGTCCTTCTTGATCTGCCTAAGGTCTTCGTAGATGTTGCCCTCGCCTCTGTAGAATCGCAACGACTTCTGCGCCTTCACCGGATGCTTCTCGTAGAGGAAAACTGGACTCTCGTGACAGAATAAGAGGAAGATCGTCATCAGCCCGACGAGGATTATCGAAACGTAATTGTAGTAGTAGTTCAACTTATGAGCCATCAAGCCGCACACGTACGTCAGTGTGATGCCCGCGTAGGTGCTTGTGGTAAACATCAGGTAAAGATGTTGCAGATTTAAAGAGTGGACGGTATCCTGAAGCAGCACTTCGCCGCATATTATGAATCCCACGGAGAAGAAGCTGCTCAAGAAGAGGAGAGCGCAGCTGACCGTCAAACCTTTAAAGAACATCAGCAGAACCCAAATGATCAATTGAATCGGAGCTATGGTGAGCATCGTTTTCTTCGGGCCCTTTTGCTGACATAGTAAATTGAAGAATAATCCGCCAATGCAACATCCCAGTGGAATAAGACTCGCTATGTTCGCGTATGTGTCCAAGCCGTTGATGGTTTCGCTTTCCATAGCCAAGCGCACAGTCGGTGTCGTCCATCCCAACACTATTCCGTAGCAGAACGCACCCATCGAAACTGAAACTAAACCGTTGTTAATTGTGCGAATTTTTTTGTTGCTCAAGAACCTGTAACTGCTAAGTACAATTGCGTTATGTACCTGCCCCTATTTACAAATTCGTTTCTCGCCCTCAGCGTTTGCTCGTTCATCGAGTACGGATGTCGGTTTCTGAAGTTAACATTGGTCGAACTGCCGCTTCTTGATGAATCATTCGAATGCTGTATCTTTTGCAACTCGTGGGTCTTCTCATGTTTCGTAATAATATTTTCCAACAAATTTTTCTTATTGTAATCTTCCAACTCTGTCTTATCCTCATGTTTGCCTGGAGCCTTTTTATGATCCATAATGACAATTTCAAATTCAAAATATTTTACTGAAAATTATACTATCTAATTGAATTATAGAAACCATTATTAACATATGATTAATAAGTTTTCACTCCCAAATAATATTTTGATTAACTTAATGATGATTTATTAATATAATTACCATAATTATCACTTTTAAGTACATATTACACAAGACATTTTCATAAACCACAATGGTTTTGTCATATTTCATACATTATTATATCAATTTTATATTTATAATGAAACTATATATGATCAATTAATAAGTAAAATAAAACTTGTTAAAATCCTAACTTTGTGAACTGATGTATACTAGTCTTCTTTAATTAATAATTAGGATAAATGTTGTAGAATGTTAAAGGAATGTTAAATTTGAATTCAAATTTGTTTCTTTGCCAACGTAACTAAGTTTGGATGTATGCAATTGTAATTGTGTTATTTCTATTGGATGCAATACTGTAGAGTTCAATATATGGAATTGGCGTTGCAAGAAACTTGTATCTGTTGGAATTCAAATAAATTTCAAAGTGCGCCTGACGTCTTCGTTCGCGTTCTTTATCTGATGTTGAGCAGCGCAAGAGTTGGCACACCTGTCTGACAAAATTGTGTTGATTTGTTGTTTTAATAGACGTAGGTTTTGTGTTACGTGTGACAAATAAATGGCTTTAAATCCGGCGAATTCCAATAAAAAGTGCGTCCTCGAGTGCAAAATCCAGTGATTATGTAAGTACATCTCGTATAGAGATCGTCGTTGAGTTTACAGGTACATTCGAACTTGCCCTCGATTGTTTTGTACATAACCTATGCCAATAATGCATTCGATAAGTGCAGTTCACGCTGCAACAGGAATCTAAACGAAATCGATGACATTTCGTACACTTTCAAGCAAAAATTGATATATTCAGCGAACAAAAGAAATCCTATTTGTTTTGCTGTTCATCTTTGTGTCAGATAAGAACGATCGGCAGCAGTATAAGATGTTTACGCCGAAGATAATATTGGTTTTAAAGACGCACAGGAGTACCTTGAACTCAGGCGTTTTTTGGTATGTTTGCAGGCAGCAGCCAAAAGTCCTGTACAATCATGGTTTAAAATAATTCGAAATCAACCTTGGTTCGTAGTGTTTGCTGCTGATGCCTTTTCCTATATTTATATATATGTATTTCTTCCCGCTGAACAAATTCTCATATTCGGCGATGCCGAAGCAGCCGAGGAAAAAATAAAAAAGTTATTTTTAAGGTGTCTGGAATATATGAGCATTACGTTTGGACGATAGTTTGGATGCCGTGATACAAATTAAGGTTAATGGCACCGCCGCCTCAATGAATACAAAGACATTTCGTAAATGTTTGCTCTTTGAAGGTCGCTGCGACCATGATGATTATTGACGCTCGAGCCGAAGACCGAAGCTTAAATCCTATAAGGATTGGTTTCCTAGTAACGGCATTTTTGAATGTAGAAGATTTGGATTAAAAGATTGCTGTTAGTCTTTAACAGCTCTTGTTTTAGGAAACCGCTTACTCTTGATATTGCACTTCCTTATCAACAAATGTTATATTTACAACAAAATTTAAAAAACTGTCCATGCTTCCATATAATTATTATTATTTTTCTTGCATATGCTTGAATATGTGTAGAATTACAACTTCGCTCTTTATGTTTCTTTTATGTTTTATCATCATTATTATTTGCATTTATTTCTGTTCATTTATTTTTTTCCATTACGCGCTTTCAACTCGGCTCTTGTACGCGCATCACGCCACGCCAACGGACGGTTCTCCATTGGAGCGTTTGATTTTCATGTGCACATCATGTTGGTCAGCTCCTAACAAAACGTCCAACGTTTCCGCTCGAATAATTTATAATTAAAGGAAACTACGTCGTCTACATACATATACACACACTTGCGATCCATTAAAATCATTCCTTTTTATCCCAGCTTCGACTTCTTCCTTCATCCACGAAGCTCACATGATTCACCTCTTTGTTATTTGAAATTGATCCAACAATCTTGTATAATTTATCTTTAAGCGCCTTTTGTAATGAAATGGAAAATTACTTTCGTCTAATATAACCTGATTTTCATTAACTATTACTCGTATTTGCTTACAGATGCATTGGGTTGCAATTTTTATATAAGGAGTATTCTCACAATTCTCTAAATACAAGTATCATTCAAACTTATTTGCTACAGTTTTCTTCGACATTGTCTTTTACTGTTTCATGTTTTGAAAAATTAAGTAATTTATGGTTTGTGTTGATTATTAAAGTTTTCAATTTTTTAAAGATCAATTGAAACATTTTACAACTAGTGATAGTGTCTGAGCACCAGCATTAAAGTAAATATGATGATTGCAACCAATTTGAGATAAATGATGAATGTTTGTTCTTTTTTTTATAGTTATCCTATCTGATAACGATGCTTGATCCTAACATTTAATCCAACTCAAATATAATAACTAAAACGTGTTTAATAATTATTGTTGAAATCTATTAAATATACATGAAATTAATAAATAAATAATGCTTTGATTTTCGTTTCTGAACCACTGCGGAAGACGTGGGTTTTTCTTTAATATTCTGATCAAGATTGTTATAAATCACAGTGTCATAGCTTTCACTGCCTCTTTGTAAGTGCAATTGTGTTTCACGTCTCGTATTTAGTTTGTGCAAGTGACAACAGAAGTAATTGTTTATATTTAGTTTTATAATTTTTAACTTAAAAAAATGTTAAATTCTCAAAAAAAAAATTGGTTTTGTACGTAATTAATGGTAATGATCGTGATGGCATTTGCTACAATTATCAATTGTTAATTATAAAAATATCAAAATATCTCTATAATTTGACGCTTCCTTACATAACACTCTTTCTAAGCATTCGCGACCAGCGCTGATAGCCTTTTCGGTGCGATATCTTCGACATATTTATATAACTCGATTCGAAATGTAAACACTTTGGATCGATCACACCACGTTTTATTTTGATCGCTCTTCTCTTTCTGTTTTCCATTCGCATGCAAAACAACATTACTCAACAACAACAAGTGCAATGCGTTTTATGTTAATCTTTTAATTGAAAGTGCATTAAGTCGAGTTTTCTTTTTGAATCGGACATTGGAATCGCGCTCATCCATAGATCATCAATAGGTGATACTACTATTACTGGTAGATCTCATTGTTTTATAAATTAATTGTATACCTATCTTTTCCGTAATCTCTGAGATGAAACTGTCCTTTTCTTGTCTCATCATAAACCTTATCGTTTACAACCTTTGACCAAATACACTGTGAGCGATTTGCGTGGGAGCACTTTCCGTGTTCAAAGTATACACTTCACTTGCTCATATTTTTATATTCGCAGATTTTGGAATCATGATTTTTATTTTGCCGAACATTGACCTCGTAGATGTTCTCCAAATTGTAGCTCGTGCGGAATAATGCGTTCCACTTCAAAGATCTGATCTGAATTTTAATTGAATCAAATACAATTAAATTACATTTCAATACAAACTATATTTTATCCCAATTGCCAAACGTATTTATTTCTTGTATCACATTTCTTTTGACCACGTGCATTTTATTTCTCATTTATGGAAAGTAGTTCAAATTATTACAATTTTAGATACATTTTCCATTTATTAATTTATGTCAAGTAAAGTTTATCATATCAAAGAAATTTTAATTTTATTTCCAATTTAAATTAAATATCGTGACTTTAAATATTCTTATAATTGTATGTGGGTCATAAACTTTAGTTTCAAGTCATTATAAGTTAATATTATTTTAACTACGATTTGCATATTATTGTTAAAAATAACGTGATTGCATTTTAATGCAAAGTTCATTTTTTATATAAATTGAACATTTGTTAATTTCGTAATTATGCAATTGAATATGAATATGATGGAATTCTAAATGTAGTAGCAAAAGTTTAAAGTTTAAAATTATTAAATGCATTCAATTTTTTTATAGCTGAGTAACATACATATATTGGTAGCAGCTGTTTCTATAAGGCTTTATCAACATCGAGAAATTGGGTAAACACTTCTTATTAGTAATTTGTTTTTAACCGATGAAGACCTTATGGTTGTTGCGAAATTGAGTGTTCTGTAATGTTTAAAAAAAAACCTATGGAGGAGTTGTTTTCTAGTGGGGACTCCTTGTCGGCTCGAACGTACTTTTAGCATTAGCTTTCGTTACACTCGCTGTTTGTTAGCCTTCCCAATCGTCGTCAAATACATGTGTTTCCGGGGGAGTAGGCACGTCACTGTTAAAATGCGCGATAAAAACCTGGCCTGATGGTTACATTAACCGCTGCATAGTTTTTTCCATTTCTTGCTGTTTTTAGTTTACCATAATTATTGCACTGTTCAACACAATATTACAAATGTGCTCCGTTCCGATTTGAACCAAAAAAAACTACCCTCTTTTTCCAGAACTTGAGAGTTTGAAAGAATCATGGAGGGCATTTTAGAGTTTCTGTTTTGTGTGGGATTCCTGTACTGGGTGTTCCCCAACTATTTCACTGAAGGATTCTCCAGGTCAGTTATCATTTTTTTTTTATTTTTATATACTTTTTTTTATTGTTCTTCTCTCGAAAAACTTACTAATTTTCTAACTTGGTTATGGGTATCTCTAGTCTTTGATTAATCTCGTGAATCATCATTACTTATTTTATATGAATGTTTGTGGAATATTTATTGTTTTCTTATGATTATTTTTCAGTGCGTCATTTAAATACACACGATTATAAATCAAAGGACTACCAAATATCTTTGATATAAATTCCTAATTAGTATTTGTATTTTTTTTTAATATATATTATAATATGCAACACGCACGAGTTCACAGATGCACGCTATGTTATGTTGTTTGGTTAATTAGTCTCTCCATTCGTAAATAAGATTGTTATTAAAATGTTTTCCGAACTTCAGTACTATTTTATATGCTTTGACATTGAACAAGAGTATTGCATTATTTGATCTTTGCATTATCATGTTTATAAGATTCCTGCGGAAGTTCTCTCGTTATTTTTATATAAAAATATCTGTTTCAAAAACAAAAACATTTATATTTATGCTTTTATTCAGCCGCTGAAAGTTGTGCATATTCTAGACTAGCAACATCTATTAATAAATATAACAACTTTGGTACATGTAAAAATACTAGTTCTGATGTAATAATTTTCGAATTAAAATTGCAACTTTTTTGTTATTGATTTAGTGAAAAGTTGCTTGATATAAAGGCTTTAAAACAATACTTATTTTTTAATTTTGTTTTAATTGTTTCATTATCCATCGATCATCTGCGTTCAAATTTATCTCTATTAGGGAAGATTGCTTTTAATCACTCGATTTCAGATCGATCATGCAAATAATCATGAACATTTTTTTGTGTGTTTATATTTTTTATTGTTGCGAACGTTAATTTGCACGGTTGTGGAATACCGAGAGGAGGTCGTCCATTAATTATCGAATCCCTGGATGCAAATTAATTTCAGGGCATCCACGAATGCACGTCGATGTAAATGAGCTGCACGAAATCAGATCATACAAATTGCATTAATTACACTTAAAAGCGTTCGCCCATTAGGCCCTTTGGTCGCTCGCTAATCGGCTTTGCCGGTAGTTCGATCACTGTAGCCAATATCGTGCAGATAATTCCAGATGAAAACAAAAATATACAGCCTCTTTTTTTTTTTTGATCACTCTCTCGCTCTGTCTCTCCCTCGTTTTTATCTGGTGATCGGTATCGAGCTGGACATGATACTGTGCTGCGGCCTGCGATAAGCCGGAATCTGTTTTTAGAGTGTTCTGGATAGTAACAACCTAATTAATTTATCCCGGCGATCGATGATTGCTTCAAGTTCAAGTTTAGATCTACCTACATAACATGTACAGATTATTTTCGGCCTGGCTCGGCCCGATCTTATTATTGTCCGACATTTTCACTTTCTGGCACATAAATAAGAAAGATTCATGCTCTCGTATCCGATCTTCTTTTGATGTCCGTCACATTGCAACGAATTTATTATACTTGCACATGCATTTCCCCAATCGCATTTACTATAAATCCAGTTTATCAAGTGGAGTATCCTATATTTTTGGTTTGGGTCAGTAGGAGTCCACGTGCATCGGATGTGCTGTATCACGACCATTCATCATAATGAGCTTTGATTCCATTGTACTTTATCCTTGGTTCTGATAACGCAGGGTCTTCGATCAACTGGAATTCTGAGAGAGCGCAAGAAGTTAATGAATTTCATCACGTACATGCATTTTGCAATTGACCTTTAAAATGGACACCACCTCGTGTTCGTTCCTCAATGATTTTTTCTTCTTCTTCTTCTTCCAATAACTTTTGGTTTGCACCGAAAATTACATAACAATATGTTTTGTCTGGAGGGAAGTTTTCAATTTGGTGTCGGACGTTCTATAGTAATTGAAGCACAAAGAGTTAATTCCAGATGACGAATTCCAAAGCTTAAGCTTTGAATGTGACATAAAAAAAAGGATTTTCCTTTTACAAAATATACAATAACAGATATTTATGTAAGTTTCGAATGTAGTTGGTTAATATTAACAAATGAAATTAATCGCTCTGTGTAATTCTATATATATACTGCAAGTAATTGCGCGAAAGAAATCCAAGAATCGCACGCGTCTTTCTATCTATATATAAACATCCTCGAATTATGTTTCTGGTTATATTTTATTTAATTTATTTCGTTTCCTTTTTATCATCATTATACTATTATAACTATTAACGCTGATTCATAGCGCAGAGCTAGATCGAATTGTTATCAAACGTATTTCGAATTCGGATCAATAAGTCAATGGCATATTAATAAACATAATTCGCAACCTTATGAATATGCATTTTTGAAGTTCCCTATTTGATATTTCCGTACATTTTCTCCAATTATTTTAAAACATATTTATTGTTTAATTATTTAAATTTTGATTACATATTTTTGTATTTTTTTTTATCGTAAATGTTGTTTTTGATATTTGTAGTGTATTTTGTACGCACTTTGTATGAATAATACAATTGATTTTTGTTAATCGCTTATGAACTTTATCGTTAATACAATTATGATGAGTGTTTCCTATTTTATCTATGTTCCTAGTTATATTTTTTGTGTAGATGATTTTTCAATGAATAATTAATTTTACTATTACTATTTAATTCCGAAGAAAGAATAAATTAGTTTTGAACATGCTGCCAGGATTACATCAACTTACCAAATCGTTCTTGCGTGTCCATCCACCGAATAAGTTGATCTTCACGGTTCGTTGGTATTACTGGCACGTTCTCTCTTTAGGCCATCGATCTCCAAACGACTCCTATTTTCTTCTTTCTAAATTGTATTATGCATAACCCAATGGTGTATGAAGCACGCGACGTAAAAGTATTGAATTTAAAATGCAAGAATTGGATTAATACTAATCAAAGTTAAACTCATGGTAAATTTAAGAATGTAGTTGTGTTTGAAGAATTATTCAGACGTTCCTGCTATTTTCCTGTAAGTACTCATTAAACACGTAATTGTTGTATAATTGCTGGTTTTATTTACAATAGTTTGTATTTTTTTCTTCTTTCTATACCTCGACATAATGGCATCGTTAAATCCATTTCTTTATCAATTGTATGGAACAATTTTCATAATTGCGTGCACCGTTGAAAGTCGAGTTGTTTACGTAGTAGATATGAGTGTGTTCTTCATTTCGTTGGAAGATCGACCTTGCGACTTATTTTGAGTATCAATCCGAGTGACTCGTATATTTCGGAATTCCTGATACGCAATGACCAAAGGTTGAAGTGACTGATCCGGCGATCGGTTATTCCTCTTCTGCGCCCGTAATCATCGATCAGACGAGCAAAGTTCCATCGCGTCAATTGCGCGTCCTGCTTTCATCCTGAAAAGAAAACCTTGTACACATTTTTCAGGATGGGCATGTTGTTCTTTGTGTAAATGCACCGGCTTCAATTGGCTTTGATGGACGGGAGGGGAACTCCTAATTATTTGACAATAACGACGCCAATCTACGCCAATGAACTCTTTAACAGCTCTATTTCATCAACGACCTGCGCCCATTCAAGTCCGAAGGGTCTCCACCTCCGCACCGCGAACGCATATATATATATATTATATTATGTAACTCTGAACGCTCTTTGTTTGTGTCCGTGAATGCATTTGTCGATGTGCGATTATATAAACATCCAGGCAATAGCGATGCGCCGCTGCAAGAACAATACGTAATTAGTTTGAAACACGAGCGCTTTTATAATGTGATTAAGAGTCGGTGGTGCGGTTTTTATCAGGGACCGCGGAGGAAAGAAAGTTAATACTGGTATGACACTCGGAACTTAATCCATTTGTTGATTGGCATCGTTCAAGAAAATAAGTTCGGCTCCTTTGCAAAAAAAAAAAATTTGTTCCTCGTTTAATTTAGTCTGTTTCTCTCGTCCCATTATCAAAGTTTTGTAATTATTATTATTGGGTTATCGGTGAACGCTCGAAACGGACCAACAAATTACAAAACGAAAAAAAAAAACACACACACACACTAATCTCCGATGATAATTTAAATTATCGAGTTTTGTACGAGTCTGAAATTTTCTTACTGAGGAGTCGCGAGTAGTAGTTCCTCGGGACATGGCTCTGGATACGGTTGTGGTGGCCGGGCTCTGATAACATCTGGAGAACAACAACAGAGATCAGTGTTTATTTTTTTTTTTGCTATATTGAATTGTGTGCAGCAAGACCGAAATCAAGATGGAACTCATTGGAACTTTATACGGGGCTTTCCAGCTTACCATCGTTGTGTTTTTTGTTCACCTAGTCTTAATAGTCAAAGGGTTTGTTCATATATATTTTTATTTTTTTAATTTAGTATTTAAGTTTTCATTCAACTTTGATATTTGAACCCGAACCATGTCCGGGGGTTATCTCGACATCTGCATGAAAGACTTTGGAAACTTACTTGTAAGTTCTCAAAGTATTGAAAATGCTTGAGATTTCATCAGAACTCGATATTGAGCTTTGATCATTGGCTATAATTGATAAGCAAGGAATTACATTTAAGACAAAGAAATTATCAGTATTGGAACCTTTTTATTTTTGATACTTAAATTTATTTATACTTTCAAATACTGCAAAGCCAATTAATTATCAAGTACATGCAATTACATCGAACTCCGTCGTTATTTAAATAATATTGATCATAAATATTTTAAACTCAACAGGAATGGTTACTCAATATAATAAAATCTAAAAATATTACATTTCTCGACTTTGATCTTCGAATACCAGTTTTATGAACATAATTAAGTTTGTAATCAATGTATCTTATTATAATTAGTAGGATAATTGGTCGTATTGAAATTGCACATAATTGACAATTAAGATAACAAACATTTAAAGTTTATGTAAAATTTAAAAAAAAAAAAAAACGAAGTTATCTTTTGTAAAATGAATATGAAATGTTTGTTACTTTTGTATAAAGTTAATTACTTGAGGCGTGAAGTAATGCCGTTCAAAAGTTCATGGTTTTAGAAATTCATGCAACTTGGATTTAAATATTTTCAAACATTGTCTTACCTTGGAAACTATGTCAAAAAGATGCTATTATTGTACGTTGAAATGTTGTCGTTTGACAATGAATTACATAAAAATTCTTAATAATCATTAAGTTGTGTGCGTTATAATAAAATTATTTTACAAAACTCAATCGCTTTGGCATTGAACCTTAAGTTTTTTTATCTATGGAATTTCTAACTACTGGCAAAGTTATCAGCATGTTTTAATAAAACAATTTATAGAAAATACAAAGAACTGAATGTGATAATTTTATCTTATGTTTTCATATAAAGTTAGATACGAGTGTGCATGTAAATAACGAAAGTAGATTCTAATTTTGTGTCTCTTCTAAATGTAATTTACGCTTTTATGAATGAATTATTTTTTTAGTAAAATATCATATAACATTGTTGTTTAAAGTATTTATGAGTTCTTAATTTAGATGAATTTGATTTTGCAAATCAAAGTTTAAATAAAATATGATTGCAGTGTGAAATTGATGAATGAAATTGTAATTTGTCTCGTTTAATATGCAATTCGATTAGGATTTTTTTCATGATTAATTACGAATTTGTTGTCACCGTTACATTATAATTTTTGCGCTGATAAATCTCTGTGATACTAATTAGTTGTGATATTGGTTTCAGAATTAACAAAATGGTGGATGTGCTTTCGAGAAGGATAATTGATACGTATAACAGATTCGCTCCGAGGGATCCGAATCAGAACGAATCAATTTCTTCGATTAGTTACGTGCACAGGGTTCACAAGGAGCAGAAGTTCAAGAAGCCGACAAAGGTAGGTGTTCTTAGAGTAATCAAACTGAAAGATTTGCTTAATGATATATGTGTATTACAAATTTTAGCAAGCCGTTGAGAATTTGTTCGCAATCAAAGAAGATGTTCCTCCGGTGACGATAGCACCTCGAAGGCAGTACCCGACCAATTCGCAATGTAATTGTAACAGTCGAGGTGTAACGGTAAGTTACCAATTGGTGGAAACCACCTCCGCGATCGGCTAATTGGAGTCAAGTGCAGGAGACCAGTGGGAGAGAGACTTAGAAATAATGCGCAACCAAGAGTCGCGCGTCTAGCCTCATTCATGTGATCCAAAAATAAATCGAAAAAATGCCTCTCCTTTCCACCATCGAAGACTATTTCCGTACAGAGTCCAGGTCGTTGCAATTCCAACCTGAACAATAATGCTCTTGCGATTGCGTGGCTATAACGATCCCCCTTGGGTAAATAAACAATAAGGCCCTTTTTGCGTTACTTGCGGTTTATTTTCATTTTAATTGCTTCCTCTTTAAATGCCATCGCTGCTAACATTCAAGGCTTACGTAACGACGCACGTACATATATTTTTTTTTTTTTTGTATAGAAGCCGACTCCAAATCTGACGAATTGCGCTCTGAAGAACATCTTGAAATACACACCAGCCCAGAAGAATATCAATTTGTTGAACAGGGTGTTCAATCACCTGTCGCAAGTGTACGAACTCAAGAAGTATACCTATCCGCAAGTCGAAGGCACGGTGATCAAAGATGAGAGGGTCAAGCATGCTATCGAAAAAATGTCCGTGCAGCAGTTCCGGGATACGGACGACAATGATGACGAGGTGTACAACAAGCTGTTGTCGGGGAACAAGAAGCGTGCGGCAAAATTGCTGCGAGATATGCGTTCGAAACTTTCAGATTTTCTTCTAAGGTGAGATCGTGAGATAAAAGTAAACTTATTTCTTTATAAATATGTTTCGTTTTTCAGATTCACTTCATGGGTGTTATATAAACTGTTTCCGTGCTTCCTGAAGGCTGTTGTGGTTCATCCCGCGCACGTGCAGATGCTGAAAGAAGCGAGCAAATCAAATTTACCAATGATATTTCTACCTCTCCATCGGTCTCATTTGGATTACATCCTGATGTCCTTTATACTTCTTAACAATGATATCAGATCGCCGTTGGTTGCTTCTGGAGACAATCTTAGAATTCCGTTCTTCGGGTAAGTTCAATTAAGTTCGGATTGTATATGTGTATTATTAATGCTCTTTAAATGCAGGTCCCTGTTGCGTGGATTGGGAGCGTTCTTTATAAAGCGTCGTGTGGATCCTATCATGGGGAGGAAGGATCACATCTACAAGGCGATTTTACATACCTACATGAATGAATGCTTACGTGCCGGTCACAACATCGAGTTCTTCCTCGAAGGAGGAAGGACGCGCACGGGGAAGCCTTGTATGCCCAAGTACGGCATTCTTAGTGTAATTGTCGAGGCCGTCATCGATGGCACCATCGAAGACGCCTTGTTGGTACCTGTTAGTATTAATTACGAGAAGCTGGTAGACGGGAACTTCGTTAGAGAACAGCTGGGTCAAGCCAAAGAGATGGAGACCTTCGGTTCGGCGATCAAGGGCATTTGGCAGGTGTTGAACAGCAATTACGGTATGATCCGTGTCGACTTCAATCAGCCATTCTCGTTAACGGTAACCCTTACGACCTTAATCTTGTAATGTTAATTAAAACTAAACTAAATTTTCAGACGTTAATTAACACGTTCAACACGAACGGTAAAATTCCAAAGCCAATCTTCAACAAAAAACTAAAATCAAATCCATCCAGCACTAGTTTATATGGCACAGACGTTGTTTCCGATGAACACAAAAATATTGTAGAAAGTATATCCAAGCATGTGATTTACGGTAATTAATTAATATTTTGTAAATTATTTTTATAACATTTAAAATTTTCAGATTGTGCCAATACTCAAGCCATAATGTCGACGAATGCCGTTGCGTTTTTGCTGTTGAATAAGTACAAGCAGGGTGTTTCTATGCAAGAGCTTGTTGATGCTTTGGATGAGCTGAAAACTGAGTTGATAGCAAAGAATAGGGAGATCGGTTTCACTGGCGACTATTTGGATGTCATCAACTATGCAGTGCGCACTCATAATCAACTCATCAGCGACATTAGTATTTTCATTTGGTGCATTTTCAGATTGAGATCCTAGGTCCAGCGTTGGTCATGAAGGAGAAGGGTCCCAGCAACGAGGACTTTATTAAACCGGTGTCGATGTTACCCAACGTCATCGAGTTGTCGTACTACAGCAACTCGCTGATGAGCTGTTACTCACTTGATTCTGTGATCGCAATCGCCCTCTTCTCCCTCGACTTAAAATCGGGCATCGTGGAACAAGACGATCTGGTTCAAGCCTCCCTGGAACTGTGCAATTACCTCCAATACGAGTTTATCTTCTGCAGACCGTGCCAAAGTTTAGAATCTAATATCCTCGAAGCCATCGACTGCCTTCGCAATCGCCACCACATTTTCACACTGGTAATTGTCATCTCATAAAAATCAAAATCATTTAATTATATTTATTTTTGCTTTGTATATGCAGTTAGATAGTGATAAACCAGCGCAGGTGTCGATGGCGTGCTTAGATATTGATGACGAGGAGCGAGTCGTCTACAATCCAGTGCAATACCAGTTGAACGCCAAGGGTAAAGAGTATGCGTTCTTCCTAAGATCGTTGCTGATGCCTTTGATAGAAGCGTACTCAGTGACAGCCAGTTCTTTGTATAAATTGGTAGACAGGACAGTTTTGGAGAATGAACTAGTCAAAGACATATTGGAGGAAATGAAGAGCGAGTTAAGCAGCGGCTCTTTATTATACGGTACTTCATTCAATTTCACCAAATAAATTAGCTAAAAGTTAACTTTCCTTTCAATTACAGAGGAGAGCGTTTCGGTGGATCCCATTAAGAACGCATTGAAGCTGTATCAAAGACTGGAACTATTGGAGGTCCACACAGAGAAGAAATTGAAATTATACTACTTAAAGGAGAACGTGAATAACAACGACAGCGTGAAGAAGATGTTCGAGAAGATCGATGTGTACCGATCGACGCAGAAGTTCGACGTGACAATCTTCAGTTACGATATGAAAGAGTAGTGCCTTATTCTAAAGAATCAAACGAAGAAAATCTCATACACATTTATATATATATATAAAATTAAGTTTTAAGAAGTTTTGCTCATTTTTTTAGTAATACGTTGTATTTTTTTGTTTGTTTAAGTGACATCATTAACACAAAACGAAGTAAAACAAAGCGAATTTCGTCCTGAAAATATAAAAAAAAAGGCTGATTGAAACGTTTCTAGAAATTATAAATCATTAGCAGTTACTTTTCTGTGATAATGTTTGATTGTATCATCGATTTGTATACTATTTGGTGATGTAGAGGAGAGAAGATAAAAAAAAGAGGGATTTTTTTGTTTTTATTATGATATATATATATGAATTTAGTTTCTGGATATTCACTGTTTGAACTTTACTTTAATTTCCTCGTTCGATTATGCGATGCAATGTGTTTAGTGTATCTCAAAGTTTATAAAGACTACGTCTTCCTATACAGACGCGTTATTACAGACGCGTTATTAACCAATTTTAAAGAAAATTTTATTTATATAAATTTATATGAAATATATTTAGTGGACATTGGGACTATGCAGGAGACACGAGAACAAAAAAAAAGAAAAAGAAAAGCGAGTGGAGGAAAATTGTAAAGATGTAATTATTTTATATATACATATTTAGATTTTTTTTTTATAAAAGAAAAAACAATGAGGGTATTTTAAACGGATTCCTTTATTTTCCCCCTAATCACGTCCAAAAGATCATCGGGTGTCGGTCGGTGGGCAGTACCATAGATGTTCAAACCCAATTGTTCCATAGCCGCCTCTGTTGTGGGACCAATTGCAACCAGCTGAAAAATAATGTTCCATAAACCCATACAGTTTTCTTGTAAAAGTTCACCTTCATCAAATTGATATTCATCTCCTTTAAATAACTCAAAGTTGAGTTTACTCCAGAAGGACTGAAGAACACCACATACTCAGGGATGGAAGTGTAACAATTGGTGACACTCTTCAATTCCTCTTCTACCTTAGGATTAGGTATGGTGTCATACATGCAAATTTCGTGCAGAGAAAGTTCACTCTGAATTCGATTCTTCAGTATATCAGTTTTCAAATTACCATGAGGAAACAAAAATGGTTTATCATATTTATCTTTATCTGAAAATAAAAACTTAGTAACTACTAAAGATTTGTAAATTCAAATTTCAAGCACACCTTGCAACAAGATGTCAGCAAGATTGTTTGCATTCCCTGTTTCCTTCCCTGAGCAATCCAAGTCCAAATCTTGTGCAGCTTTCTCTGCTGTAGTTTCACCAACAACAAAATTATCCTTCAATGTCCATTTCTTATTAATTTTTGAACCTTCTAAAGCCAGCTTTGTGGCTATCACACATCTGGGACTGGCAAATATGATACCACTGAACTTCTCTGGTTCATCCAAACTGATCCTCAACTTATCCAAGTTCTTATACTCAAACTCAAGAGTCTTCACTTGCTTCACCACAAAACCTTCTTGCATTAATTTACTATCATATTTGTCATTGTTTTCATCACACTTCTGTGCCTTCAATAACAAAACAAAGTTTCTCACTGTAGTCATGTTTTTAACTGAATGAGGATGTCAGCGGTTATTGTTAGGATAACAATTAAAATTGTTTACGCTACTTATCGTAACCGGACGGTAACGCAACACTTTCTTGCATAACAATAAATAATTCATATCTATAATCATTTTATAGGTTATCGAGGTAGTTCATTTGATTTGCAGAAGAACTACGATTACAAATAAAATTAATTAATTAATTACCACTAGATGTTCAATGAATAGTATAAGTGTTGTTAATAACAAAAATTCAAAAAGTTTCTAATAACAATATTTAAATTAGTGCAGTGCTGAATCTGCTCAAACATAAGCTTTGATCTAGCTCTAAAAGATGGCAATTATTTGAAGTAATTGTTAGTTGTTTACAAACTATCTAATACGAAAGTTTCTTAATTAATTGTGACGAAGCTATGGTAGCTACAAACCTGTATTTATAATCATTTTCATCTCTCTATACTCAAGATCAATATTAACTTTCAAAATTCTTCTGGGAGTTGGTGTATATAAAAATACAGGCCATTTTCGAAGACGTTATTTTCCCAACTAATCTGTGAAATACTAAAGTTTCTTAACTAATTATGAAAATGCCATTGTAACTACAAACCTATATGTATGCTCATTTTAATCTCTGTATATTCTAGATCAACATTCATATTCAAAATTCTTCTGGGAGCTTTTTTTTATGAAAATACAGTTCATTTTCGAAGACGATGTTGTCCACCAAAGTTTGATAATTAATTGTGATGAAGCTACGGTAGCTACAAACATGAATGTACGCTCATTTTAATCTCGGTGTATTCTAGATTGATATTAATATTCAAAATTCTTCGGGGAAGTTCATTATCTAAGAAGATATTTAACATTTTTTTAAATCAAAATTTATATGTATGTTTGGTTGCCTGTATTTTAGGCGTAAAATGAATATTCCATTTTGAGTGTCAGCTGGCGCCATCTGTTAGCAATATAGCAAAGGTTATAGTTCGGGCATTTTGGCGCTGCATAAAATCCATTTCCTAGAAAACGTTCTAATTTTAATAAACAATTATATCAGAATATTGCTTAAACAAATGCAATGTTGTTACTTTACTCTAATAATTTAAATGCTAATTAGTTTTCGAGTTATATTCGTTTTAATTAAGACAAGCAGCGACATCTTTCGGAATTTTCATGAACCACTTATGCACGGAGCTCAGATACCTCCTCGCTACTCCTAGTCTCCTGGTACAAATCGAAATTTTCTGGCATTTTCGAGAATAAAGGGGGGGCGACTTGCGTTTTGATTCGCGAAAACCACCAACTCATTAAAGTCTAATAACTTTCTTATTAATTGACCAAAAATAACGTATTTTATATCAAACGAAAGCGAAATAAATATTCTTTAAAACAGTGTATTAAATATTTCCAATATATTTGAATATAACCATTTATTTAATTATTTTTTCAATTTTCTGCAAAACCTTCACGTTTTTTAAATTAATCGATTACCACAAGTGCTAATTAAACCATCAAATACGCAAATTAAAGAGAAAACTACAACCTTGCCAATGAGATAACTGTCGGCATTGTGGTTTGGTAAGTACATCTAGTATAAGTTATGAAATTCAAGTATTTTAAGCCTAAACTAATGAAAAATATATTATTTAGCACCTGACGAATCGATTTACTCAAATTTTATAATCGATGAAATGATGCAAAAATAAAACAAATGATATTTCTCAATTACACCTAATCAATATTAACCAAATTAAAAAGATCACGTTTATTTGGTTAAAACTTATTAACAATTTGTACAATTTAGAAAATATCCCGCAACTGTCGCTCGAGAACGCATTGTTATTCTTCTCCAATTATTCTGTTTGTATCGATCTAAACTTATTGGTTTTGTTTCATGAAATGGAAGAAAAGTTATGTAATTTTCGTGTAATTAAGAAAAAACGTGAAAACTCTTCGGATCTCAAGGAAACAGCGATTTTTAAGAAAATCCTATTCAATTTTCTACAGCTTGAAAAGATGAGGGTTTCTGCTTTGAATTGAGTGGACGATCATGTAATTATCTTAAAGGGTTGTCCATAAATTCACGAAATACTGAAAAAAAAAACTGTCTAGTCTATAGTCTATTCTAGTCTACATAACAAACAAGGGTTGCGCTCATTAGTGCTATGTGAGGCCCTAGGCGCAACCTGATTTGGAGGGTTCATATTCATATTCAATCATAACGTTTCTTTTGGCGATTTGGATGACCTTTAATTTAATTTGTTTTATATTTACTGCAGATTCTTGTAATTATTACACTAATTTAACAATAATTCATGTAGAAAACATCTGAACAATTCTTGCAGGGTTTAACTCCTCAATGTACTGAAAACTTAAGGCGGAAACCGGAAGATATTCGATTCCGTGCGGATATAAGATTTATTCTATATATTCTTTCACAATCGCCTTTGGTGGGAATGAAAAATTGCGTTGCACTGCTCTCTCCATCAGGGTATTAATTCCGTTCGGCTGCGTATTATAGGCGGTGTTTTAAATTTGAACCTAATCCAACTTAAAATGCCATTTCATAGATCCGACTCCATCCGCAGTAAGTGCTACACTCCGAGGAGATTTTACGTAAAAGAATTTTAAATTCCTTAAGTAGCGATCGGACCTGCTCTCCTTTTTCCTTGCCTTCCTTTCATCCCTCTCTATCTCTCTCACCCTTTCAATCGTTCCCAGTTTCCTTCTCTTTCTCTGGGAGGGAAAACACCAGATTTTTTAATTCCCACAGCATTCGTTTTCCTTGGGAGGAGGTTACATATATATTTTTATACTCCTACACCCCCCTTCCAATCGCACAAACCCCACAACCCCTACGGCATTCAACTTATTTTTTTTTCGAATTCATCGAACGGAAAGTTGTCCGTATTCCAATTCAATTCAAATATATTATGCATTTTGGTTTCAAATTAGATTTCTCCACTTGATCTATAACATGTACAGCTGTAATATCTAAGTAACGTAATTGGTAATTTAGTTATTTATATAACAACATATTAATTGTGAAATTAAACTATTTGTTACAGCTATAATATTGTCGTTATGTAGTGAAGATGATTCATCTGTAAACCGAAATGGAAGTGCGATCTAATGATCTAAGGAAGCTGCGGCAGTGCGCGCTAATAAATATGATTCTATAATGGGTAATTAATAAATCGGAGTTCCAATTAAGTAAGAGCACTTAATTAACTTACTAATCGGATCGGAGGAGACGCTCCAGCGGCGTCGCGACGGTGCCGGAACGGAGAATCTAGATGCTGGGGGGAGGTTTCTGTTGGGGTTTCGCGGGGGGGCGAAGGACGTCGGCGTCGGCGGTTGCGACGCCCGCCCTGGGGATCAACAAAACACTATCGCCGCGTTCGAAACTTTTTTAAAAGCTTATTATCGGATCCCCCTCGGCGAACCTTTTTACGTTTTCCTTCTTCTTTTTTTCCCTGCTTCTTTTTTTTTTTTGTTTTATTCCTCAACCACCTCATCCTACTGCTGTTGCCTCTCCGCCCCGTGTTCTTAACACTTTTTAAAACTGTATTATACTTTTTGCTCCGCTCTCTCACTTTTCTCATTCTCTCTTGCTTCATTCCATCAATGTTTCTTTTGTTTTATTTCCTTGTGGCTACGCCGTAAACCCTCCTGCTGCAAAACCACCCATTCCCATTTACATCAAGAGATACTTATTAAGACTCGCACTACTATATTTAAGTGACTAAATATTCTAATAAGAAGTAAAAGAAAACAAATCTTAATTATATACTAAATACATAATTAATAACTTAATTTTAGTTATATATAAAAAATAATGATAAAATGTAAATGGTTTTATGGAGAACGCATCTTAAATTTACTTTATTTTTGCACAGTTCAACGGCCTTATAGAAATCCTAGATTGCTCATAAAATTCGAGATTACTCGAAAACTATAATACATTTGCAAGATTGCTCAAAAATTCGATTGTTCTCGAAAACTATAATACATAGAATGAATCCAAAAGATGCATATGAAAGCTGAATGTTTGGGGAATCTAGCAAGTATATGATATATTACTGTGGTTTTACCGTTTGGCTGTAATTCGTGTTCAAATTTAAAAAATGCTCGAAAAAGCAGTGTTTTTACATTTCATTGATAATAAAGTAATGTTTTATTAA